CGGTTGATGCTGCTGGACCATTTAACTAGAGTGGGTGGGGGAAGGAGGGACCAAACCACCTCGTTTTGGCAGGCAGCTGGGGGAGGAGTGAGGTTCAAGGCGCTGACCCTCGCTGCCAGGAGAGGGGGTGGGTGGTGGGTGATGCCCACTCCTCAGGCACATGGCGCTGGCACAGGCACAAACCAGCCTGGAGCCCCGTGCCTGCTCCCAGCCTCTTGGCTAGACCTGCAATGGCCAATGACGCATCTGCATGGAGGAGGGTCGCTCGCAGTTTCCAGCGTGAGCTCTGGGGACAGTCTCAGTAAGGGTAAGGTTAAACCTGCTGCATGCACCTTATCCCCCCTCAACAGCAAAGGCAGGGCGCTGTCCCCTTCCTCCAGCCCTGTGCGCACTGGAGGGCTCAGGGGACCAGCTCCCCAGGGTCATGGGGAAGAGCACAAGCACCTGTGAGCACTGGCTTTTTTAGCTGTCTCTTCGGTTGTGATTGTCCTCATGTGACTTAGATGTGATTTCTGTTGCCTGAGTTGTTTATTGATGTGCTAGGCTGCCGTAGATATGACTCATAGATCAACGCTGCAAATATAGCACAAAAAAAGAAAGAAATCTGTAACATTTCTACTGAATTAATGTATCTGTCTACTTCCTTTATTTTCTCCAAGTCTCACAGTAAGAAATGTGTTTTGCTGTATAGCTGGCATTTTTATGAATCTGGACTATTACAAAAGGAGATTCCTGTTGACAGTGTCAAATATATATGGCACAAGAGCAAAGTCCAGCTTGTTTTGTTAATATATCTGTATCTGTTGCATCCCTGTCCTGGCTTTTGCAATCGCAGCCCAGCAGGTAAGAAACCCCCACATCCAGCAAGCTCATGTTATGTGTGGTGGCTTATCATCCACCCTACCATGAAGGTCACAGGGTCTTGTGGGGTCTCTGTTTGCTTCCCTCAGGCTGTCCTCAGCCATTATTCTACGGATCAGAGATCTAGGGAAGGATTTGAATTGGGATGTTATGAAGCTTTTTATGAAACCACTATACCCAAAGTAGTAGAGATGAGCGATTATAGGAGAACTTTGCAAAGCTGAATGATGAAGAAATGAACTGGACAGTAAAATTCAGTATCGATTCATTAAAATTGAGGTGCCCTTGCAAAATACAGCCCAATTTTTGCATAGACAATGTTGTGCTACAAGCTGTGCATCCTCACTCAGAAATAGGCATCTTGGAGTTATGACTGATGACTCCTTGAAAACTTCAGTGGTACACAGTCACTTCACTCCAGACTCCTCTCCTCTCTTTGTTATCACTGCAGGTTTCACTCAGTCCCCTCAGTGAGATGATGACTGGCGCAGGTCAGGGTCACAGTACACACAGTGGTTTCTCTCTGCCACTCCTTCCTTCTCACTCATTTCCAATGCTCTGGCATGGGCTGAGCCACAGGCTGCATTCCCATTGGGGGGGGTACCTGCTCCAGTGTGGATCCTTCATTGGGCCACAGTCCCTTTAGGGTCTATCTGCTCTGGCACGGGGTTACTCATGGACTGCAGTCCCTTCTGGAGTGTACCTACTCTGGTGTGGGTCCTCTACAGCCTACAGCCCCTTTGGTGGGAGTGCTTCTACCACCATGCAACACGTACTACTGCTCTGACCTTGGTGTTCCCCTTGCTGTTTCTCACTCGTTTTCTTTCACTACTCCTCTCTCAGTCTGACATTTTCTGCCCTTTCTTAAATATGTTTTCACAAAGACACCACAAACTCCCCTGGCTGGCTCAGCTGTGGTGCATGGTGGGTCTGTTACTGATCCAGCTGGAACCATCTGTGTCCAGCACAGGGCAGCTCTGGACCTTCCTCATGGCCACCCCTGCAGCCCCCTCCACTACCCAAACCTTACCATCTACAGCCAGTACACATCACCACAAATATCTTGATCTGCTATTTACAAATATTGTTTTGCTTTGTGCTGTGTGGATAATTTTGTTAATTTGTTCCTAATTCAGGAAATGAAGCTCTTAATCAGATTTGTGCTAGAAATTTCTGCTTCCACAAAGTGGTATTTATCTGTTCCTTCCAAAAATATTTTTCTAAATTATAGGCAGTGTATAAATGCGAGAAAAAGAAGACACACCGAAAAAGTTAGTTAATATTAGATGAAAGTGTTTTATACTGTCTGTCTGTCCCAGTGCCTTTCTGGGACACACTGGGATGCACTGCAAGGAAAGGAACAAGCCCTACCTAAATCTTGACTCCTGAAGGGCTCTGACTGCATCCATAAAGACATCAACCTGCTAAGCTTGTGTAGTCTTACTACAGTACTAGTGCTTGCTGCACAAAGTATATTTGCCTTACAATTTGCAGTCATAAATTTTTGTTATTTGTGTTGTGATAGTGACTGAGAGCCTGCCACGGGCTAAGGCAGCGTGCTGCATAGTCAAAGAAGAGGAGCACATTCCCCAACCCCAAAACTAAGTCAAGAAAAAGTCAAGAGCTTGCTACAGTTCAATGGGCAGTTCTGTCATTGGAAATCTTAACTGAAATCAGGATCCTCTGTATGTGCTTGGTCCTGACCCTGCAGATGATGAGGTTGAGTGCAGAGGGCACCAAGATGTAGATGTTCTTCATGGTGATATGGACCGGTGGAGCCAGGTCCTTCCCAGACCTGTGCAGCTTGGGCAACCCAGTCAGGGGCACGTAGAAGGCCAGGACCACGCAGATATGGGCAACGCAGGTGCTGAACATCTTGAGCCTCTCCTTCCATGACACCAGCCACAGGACAGTCTTGAGGATCAGCATGTAGGAGAGGCAGATGAGGATGGTGTCCAGCCCCATGACCAGCAGGACGGCGGTGAGGCCGTACACCCCACTGGGGGTGGTGTTGGCGCAGGCCAGGTTCATCACATCCTGGTGCAGGCAGAAGGAGTGTGACAGTGCCCAGAAGCTGCAGAGCAGAAGGGGCAGAGAAGGACTTGGTTCTGTCTCTCCTCTGGAGACAAGTGGTGTTCTGGCAGCCTTAGAATGTTAAGTGTGTTAATTTTTTTATGCTGAAGTTATGTTACTAGCATGAGCGCTGCGCTGTAGTACCAGCAGAGCAGTACCTTTATAGTGTGGAACATGTGTACATGCTATCCAGAGTCACAGAGTCACTGAGGCTGGCAGGGACCTCTGGAGATCTCCCCGGCCAACCCCTCTGCTCATGGAGGGGTCACCCAGAGCAGGTTTCCCAGGACCATGTACACCTGGGGTTTGTGTATCTCCAAGAATGGAGACTTACAGCCTCTCTGGGCAACCTGTGCCAGTGTTTGATTAACCTCATCATTAAAAAAAGATAGTTGTTGTGGATAGTTTAAATGGAATTTCCTGGTTTTTCTAGTTTGAGCCCATTACCTCTTGTCCTTTCACTGGATACCACAGGGAAGAATGCGGCTTTGTCTTTGTTACTCCATCCCATCGGGTATTTATACTCATTAAGAAGGCGCATTCAGGCACAGAATCTCTTTGCCAAGAGAAATGACCCTTCAACAGGGACAATGCCTCCCTTAAGGTGCTTGAGACTCGAAAAAGACAATAGTTTGCATGGGTAACTATTCATACAGTATGGACACAGCCTGTAGGACCACCAGCAGGTTAGCATTACTCTGTGGGTTATTTATTATCTACCTTAGAAGCAACAGGGACGAGTTGGTCAGCAGGACTGCTTCATGCCCTTTGCTGTCCCCTCCCTAACTGCTGTTTGGGGCACAGAGTTGTGTCCTCAGTGCTGTGCCCTGGAGGAACATCACTGATGTGGAGCTCAGGCCCACTGCACCAGTGTGGAGCAGTGGGTGCACGCCTGGTTTTGAGGACTCATAGAGTTAAAAGGCAGAAGGAAGTGTGGGTGGGGGGAGGGGGGTACCCCCGTGCCACACTACTCACTGTGTGTTGCTGCACCCTGCAAGCTCATGGGTGCAACCTCATGACCATGGTCAAGGCTGGGACATAGGCTGGTTTTAGTTGCAAAAGGTCTGGAGACACTGACATTCCTGGCTGTTGAAAGTGTAAAGCAGGGTCTGCTCGGAGCGTTGAGACAACAGCAATGGGGATGGTGATGTGGGTTTCAGAAGAAATTCCAATCTGGTCATTTTTGAACTGTCCTAAGGAGATGAGGCATCACCTAGGTACTAACGGTGACCTGTCCCCTGTAACCCACCTGACCAAATACTGTGTTTGGAGAAATTCTCCCTTCTGCTTTTCTGTCCTGTGCCATTGCCCTGCAATGATGATGAGCGATTCATGTAGACTTCCCTCAATAGTTCTGCTTTAGACCGCAGATCAAACATCACAAACCCTCTGAAGATGTTATTGTCCTGGGCTGCCCCCAAAGCCGCGTGGCCAGCAGGGCGAGGGAGGGGGTTCTGCCCCTCTGCCCCGCTCTGGGGAGACCCCCCTGCAGTTCTGCGTCCAGCTCTGGAGCCCTCGGCACAGGAGAGACACGGACCTGCTGGAGCGGGGCCAGAGGAGGCCCCAGCGATGCTCCGAGGGCTGGAACAGCTCTGCTGGGAGGACAGGCTGGGAGAGCTGGGGGGGCTCAGCCTGGAGCAGAGAAGGCTCCGGGGAGACCTTAGTGCAGCTGCCAGGGCCAAGAGGGGCTGAGGAGAGAGATGGGGACAGACTTTTTAGCAGGGGCTGTAGCAATGGGGCAAGGGTAACGGTTTTAAACTAAAGACCATAGATTTAGACTAGATCTAAAGAAGACATCGTTGACACGGAGGGTGGTGAAACCCTGTCCCATGTTGCCCAGAGAGGTGGTGGCTGCCCCATCCCTGGAAACATCCCAGGTCAGGCTGGACGGGGCTCTGAGCAACCTGCTCGAGTTGGGGATGTCCCTGCTCATGGCAGGGGGGTGGACTAGATGGCCTTGAAAAGTCCCTTCCCACCCAAAGATTCTATGATTTTATGATTCTATGATCCCCTTTACACAGTGAACCAGCTCTCAACTTCTCTTATCAGTGAGGATCCCCCCTAGGAACCCCTCACTCCTCCACACCTCTCTGCCGCAAGTACTTCTCTGCCACTACACCCTGCTCTGCCCCATGCAGAGCATCCTCCACATTCACCTTCCCCTGGTGTCCCAACCAGGCTGGCTCTGTGGCCCAGGCTGAGGACAGACCTCCAGAGAAGTTCTCTGTACCTCACCAATGCACATCACAGTGGGCCACAATAAGGGGCTGACGCTATTGTAGATAATTTTAAAAAATAAAAATCTGCTTCCCAGTTTTTGCCATTTTGCCTCTTTGCAGCCTTTCAAGCATCCTTTCCCTCCTGAGACACGAAGGACACAAACACCAGTGCCACCATGGTCATCCCTCAAGCGGTTACAATTGACTTGTACTGCAGGAGGTTGTGGTTTGCCACAAAGCTACCCAGGGCCATTAGCAGCAACACAGACGTCTCCATCAGCGACAGCGAGTGGATGAAGAAGCCTCGAGGCAAACAAGAACTGCAGCTGATCTCCCTGTACGTAAACCAGCATATGCCCGGCACAATATGTCCTGAGGACAGACAGAATGACGGACAACGTAGCCAACGTGGACTTCAGTCCTGTCTCACCCCGTAAAAGACGAGGAGGCATTGCCGTGACTCGGTGAAACAGACAGAGCAGAGGTGAGACGTTTCCGACCCTGGGAAACCTGTTGGGGGAAAAATGCAGCCCTGAAGCTGGTGTTCTGGAATGCTGACATGAGCTCCATGCAGACCCGCTTGAGCTCCTAAGCCTTGAAGTGACGAATGATATTTATCAACTATGTTATTATAATTGGCAACAAAAATTTAGGAGCAAGGGTGAAGAACAGAGAAGCATCAGTATATCCCGCTTTGAATTCCTGGCTCAGGCTCAGCCCCGCCTCTGTATTATACAGGGCCTCTGTATTCCGAATTCGCAGTACAACCCTTGAGCAACTCACGCTATTACCACTTGCAGCAGTACGCACAGAGCCGTACCCCGTTTTGCTGGGCGCTGAGCCGTCGCCACAGCTGACGCATCCGCAGTGCTGAAGGTCTCCTGACAGGTCCATCCCACGCGGTGTTTGTGGAGGAGGGAGGTGGTGGTAAATGCTGTGTCCCATTGCAAGCAAGCATGTCGTCTTACACACAACAGAAGTCTCAGGAAAGGATAAGGACTGTAAATTTAAGTTCCAGGGCACTTTGAAGGTAAGAGTAAAAACTTGCCTTGCCAAGTCCACAGTGAGCGTGTTTCTGCTTAGTCTAAATTCTGTAGTTTTTGTGTTCATAGTATAGTTTTTCAATTCGTACCTCTCCCACCCTTGTGCTCTCAGCTAGGGCACAAGGTATGTTACGGCAACAACAGGGAAATTTCAAGATGACAAATGTATTCACAGAATGCCATCTGGGAATCGTTTCTTTCCTCCCACAGTCCTGACAAAGACCCTGCCTGACAAGCAAAGCAGTCAGAGCCTTTCTCAGGGTATTTTGCATCATCTGAGCTGCAGAAAGTGCTGGAGAGACTGCTCTAACCCCCCGAAAATGCTGGGACCTTCTGCTTGGCTTCAGCTTTGCTCCCCGAGGGCTGAGCTACACCTTGTCCGAGCGGTAACACAGCCCCGAGGAAGGACCGCGCCTGCCTGACAACACAGCTCAAGCGGCAGCAGCTCCGCGCCTGATCCCAGGCTCCCGACGTCTGGAGGCAGTTTTGGGTAAGTCTGGGACGAATCCTGACAATCACAAAAAGCGCAGTGCTGCAGATGGCAGAGGGAACCTCGGATAACAGCAACTGCCGGCTCACAGAGCCGTCACGTGTCGGTGACGGAGGAGATCCGGGAGACCAAAACCCAGCACTTCCCACGGCACCCACAGGCCCGCACTTCTCAGCGCGGAACGCTGTCGCGGCCGGGATCGGTGC